TAATCATAATCATAATCATAATCATAATCATAATCATAATCATAATCATAATCATAATCATAATCATAATTACAAGCATAATCCTAATCACAATCACAAACATAATTATAATCATGATCATGGTCATAATCATAATCATAATCGTAACCATAATCTCACTTTCCTTCATCATCATTATTCTGAACTCTGGTTATGCTGCTTCTCTCGAGTTGTGTTGAGACTGCGTTTTAGTCCATTTGGAAAAAGAATACTTTTCAACTATCAAGACTTTATGACATTTCATGACAACATGAGTCCTGCTCTTTTGATTGTGCCTAATTTAACCTTACGTCCTTTATCAATGTACGCAATCCAGAGTGCCTAGAGATTTGATTACTTATTTTTCCCTTACAAATAGGCTTTCGAGGCCACCAGTTAATCATTTATAAAAGATGTATTCACGCTATTTCATTTAAGCCGATGGAGGCGACAAATACTCTCCCAAAAGGGTCAACGTAGCCGTGACCAAGTCGACTGTGGCTGAGCGGACAGGAGAAGCTTGGATACCGGCAAATCGTCTCTCCAAAATGTCCCACAAGTCGTGTCACTCGGCCATTCCACCCGAGCAGAGCTTCAGTGCGAATTGGCTACATTCACTTTGGATAAGGTACCCTTTTTGGTTGAGTGCAAATGTTTCACTCGATCGTAACATGAATGCCATTTCAAGAGATAGCAAACAAGTCCATTTACCTCCTCCCCGGCCCCCCTTTTCGCATGCATTCAAGTGCACAAACACACACACACACACACACACACAGACACACACAAACATTAAGACATAAAAGAGGCTAATCACAAGTTGACAAAGGAAGAAAGAAGCCCGTAATCAGGCATGAAGCGGCCGCAAACTAGATTGCGTTTTCTTGTGTCCAACGCTGCTGGCCATTTCTGGCCGGACGCTGAGCATAATTACATGGAGCCAGATCTTTTTTGATCTCCAAATCGGATCTGCTTTATCGGCTTGTGACCCGGCTGAACATGTGTTTTCCACCCTCTTTGTCCCAGTCCTCCTCCGTTCGGCCCATGCCCCTCTCCACCCTCCATCCACCATCGTCCATCCATCCTTCATCCATCATCCACCATCCACTCGGCCGAGTCTCGGTGCCGCTTATCCGAGACGGATAAGTCGAGGCCTGGCCGAACGGTTAATCGGCCCGGCAACTCGACCAAGCACCGTCCTTGTCGGCGGCCGGTCGGTGGGCGCCGTGAGACAGTTCGGTCCGTCCGAGCCCCGATCCGGTAGTCGGCCAGCCCGGCGCAAAAGACGCATACAGATCTGGTGGACAGAAGAGGCCAGAGACCACAGATCCAGTTGCCAGGCTGCGATATGCAAGATAGTCTTTGTTGTTTTCACTCTCTCCTCCACTCTTGTCCCTTGTCCCTTGTCCTCACCTCAACTCCGACCTCTTTTATCTCGGCCCAATTAGGCCGCAGTCGAGTCTGCCGGATTGGGATTGCGCCAAACGAGTAGTACACTTGAGACGAACGTCGGCCACAACCAGCTTGTCTTATCACACGCAAAAGCGGACACCCACCGGCTACACTTCAAGTGTGCCCGTTCTCATGGGTAGCCATAGCTACCTGGTCGTTTGGACGAACGATTAACAAAAAAGTGATATGCCCTATGCCCTCAACTGAGGAAAAGCCACAATTTTTGCGATACTCTCCTGCTGCAGGTGATTGAGTCCGTGCAGAGGGGAAAATTGGTAAAGACCCATTTTGTCTTTCTCCCAACACAACAACATCACACTTGAGCAGCACTTTGCGCCTCACCCGATTGGATGGTGTTCTTCTTCACTTTGTCACTCGAAGAGGAGGTCGAAACCCGTCACGACAACCGCTCGAGTTGTGCTGCTTTGTGTCGGGACTCGGACCGGTCAGTCAGAAGACAGTTTTTCAATATTGCCACCAAGAAAAACTGGGTTTCATTTTAACTATGAGCATGCATTAGTATTAAACTAGAACCGGACAGTCTTCTTGATTTGGTGTTTGTTAACTGGACACATTTACATGATTTGATGTCGTCGTATTTACAGCCCAAAGGCTGCAGTATCAGCGAGAATCCAGCTTCGTCTTTCTGTGAGGCCAAACAACGAAACACTTCAACCGGCATTTCGCCAACAGTCTTTTCAAGCTCTCCTTTCTGATATTACTTCTAGTCATCACAAGTAGTGTAAGAGGATAGACGAATTTTCCCACAATCAAACGAGTAGTAGTTACCCTCCGAAAGATATTCCCGTCCCAGCTGGACTGGAATAGACTGTAGGAACAAACGCGCTTGAACTGGTCTCATCTGCATCCACAGTGGGAATCGTACCTCGGTTGTGTTAGCGTAGACGTGTGTATTGTGGGAACGTCGATGAGGAAAAATAGCCATTTTGACATGATGATTGACCACATTTGTTATAATTGAAACGAATAGGTTTCAACACTACCGATAGAACTTGAATAACACATACATTCATTATAGTTTTCATTCGTTGACAATTGACTGCAGATAGTTTGTTCCAACACAATTGTGCAATTTCGCCATACGATACCAATGCCTCATCCTTAGCCGTGACTACCATAAGGTATTTTTCCAATAAGGTATTGTTTTCGTGACTACCAGTGAATCAGTAGTATGAGATGTATTTACTTAATTTCGTTTAAGGTGATGCAGGTCTGGTAGAAGAAGAGTTTTCCCACAATGATATGAGTTGAGCTGACGTTTTCATTGCATTTCACATAGCCTTGCTTTCATCCCATATTACTGATTTACTGGTAGTCACGAAAACAATACTTAATTCGAAAAATAAATTATAGTAGTCGATTGTTATAGCAGATATACGTTTGCTTCATCAAAGTCAGCTCAAATCATATCATTGTGGGAAAATTCTTCTCATACCAGTCCTTCATCACCGTAAACGAAATTGGTTGAATACATCGCATACTACTGATTTACTGATAGTCTCGAAAACAATACTTAATTCGAAAAATAAATTATAGCAGTCGATTGTTATAGTAGATATACGTTTGCTTCATCAAAGTCAGCTCAAATCATATCAACGTGGGAAAATTCTTCTCATACCAGTCCTTCATCACCGTAAACGAAATTGGTTGAATACATCGCATACTACTGATTTACTGATAGTCTCGAAAACAATACTTAATTCGAAAAATAAATTATAGCAGTCGATTGTTATAGTAGATATACGTTTGCTTTATCAAAGTCAGCTCAAATCATATCAACGTGGGAAAATTCTTCTCATACCAGTCCTTCATCACCGTAAACG